TATAGCCTCAATTTCAGCCTCTCTGTATTACATTACACAATGTGTGTCCACGGATGGACTTAATTATACTTGTAAAAATATTTATTTTAAATTAAAGAAAAAGTTATTTTTCATAATTTCTCAATGTGAATCGAATTTATTTAACAAGCAAGAAATTATGAAGAATTACTTTTTTAATTTAAAATAAATATTTTCACAAGTATAGTTAAGCCCATCCGTGGACACACTGTATAATGCTGTAGATCTAATTCACATTATAACATCAATAGAACGTTTCAGAGCAACTTTCGGGGTAAGTACCGTAAAAGTGCTAGTGTGATGTTTTTCGAACTTCACTTTGTAACTTCTGTGAGATGTGCTATAAAAGTCTTGCCGTTGCGGACATTCGGTAGTTGCAGGGAGATAAGGGTTACATTTACAGTACATTGCATGCGAGCTTAAAGAGCCTAAAATTGCAGCTTATTAACGTAGATGGGATGTTTTTGTGCTAGCTGGGTAATAGTATTAAATTGTGCATTTAATAGTAAAAAGCATCTTATCTGTTTCCTATGTAAACTCCCTAGTCCCTTTCTTGATATTTTTACCTTTTTCCTTGTAGCCTGGCTGTCTAGATGGTTTTGTAGAAGTTATATCGAAAGAGTTTGTTTAGAAGTTTGTAGGAACGTTCAAACTGCATGTTTAGAAGAATAGAAACTTAGAAGTTTAGTTCCAGCTACAGAAGTTGATTTCAAGTATATCAAGAGGTTTAGTTCGAGCCATCCAAAGAAGTTTACGAGATTTAACTTTACCTATGAAGATTTAACAGTTGGTGATATCCGAAGCGTATCATACGAATCCCCTTTAAGAAGGCCTCTACAGTCACTCCTTAAATGTTACCTCTGATTCAACAGATAAGTCTATAATAAATCATTTAAATTTGAATAAGTAAGTCTCTGTGAATTAGAATTTGTCGCTGTCTTATCTGAAACCTTATTTAATTATAATATCTTAATGGTTAGTGATTTTCTATATTTTCATCACTAATCGATTGTCAAGTTTAGAAAGTTTTAAATATAGTGGCGCTTAACATTCTTTATCAAAGTAATACGAGTTGTTTAATAACCTGACCCACTCCCCAAAATTATAAGAGCTTAAAACACTATAAAAATAGATAAAATAACAAGATCATATTACAACTTTTAAATTAAGTTGTCTGAGCCTGTCGTATACGGTTTTTAAACGTTCTAAATATTCCTGAAGGGAAGTAATGTAAATTAAAATGTCATCTAAATAAACAATACATATTTCGTCTGTCAGTCCTCGTAATACAATGTCCATTACTCTTTGAAAAGTGGAAGGGGCATTTTTCAATCCAAACGGCATTCGTTTAAATTGAAAATGACCTTGTGGGGGTACTAAATGTGGTTTTGTCTGGGTCTACTTCAATTTGGTGAAAACCACTAGCTAGATCGAGTGTCGAAAAATAATTTGATCTACCTAATCTATCCAGGATTTCCGTGGGTATTTGTCATTTATTGTTCGTTCGTTAGGTTTTCGACAGTCGATAACGCAACGCCATTTTCTTTTCCCGCTTGCATCATGTTTTTTAGGAACAATCCAGATGAAGGATGAGAATGGTGACGTCGAGTAGTTTTCAATTATGCCGTCATCTAACATTTTTGCTATTTGCCTTTTAACTTTATGTATTTTAAGAAAACGATAAGATTTTGTGTAAATTGGTGAATCATCCGTTAATGTAATTTTGTGTTTAATTTGATTTGTGAAACTTAATGGGATACCTTCACAATAAAAAATATCCCTATACAGAAAACAAACATTTTTGAGAGATTCTTCCTCCGCTCTGTTACAATGGTTAAGCCTGATATTTTTTAAAATTTCTTTTAATTTATTATCATGAAAAGTGTCATAATTTGGATCTGAATCGACTTCCATTTTGTTTTGAAAATTGACTTCAAATAAATATAAAATTTCGGTATCAAAGTGTTCAAAAATATCTAATTTTATAGTAATTTCATGTAAATTAGTGACAGTAGTTATAGCAAAATTGTTAGTTACATTTACCAAAGCTTTAGGCATCTCAAGATCTTTTCCTAAAATTTTATAGTCAAGTACGCCTAAACCATGTTTTAAATTTACCGGTCATTTTACTATCTGTTTGCAACGTCCGGGAATAGTCAGTGAATAATTATTTTGTCGGTTATCATGAGTGTCTGTGTCTAAAATTAAAGGAATAACTTCACTAGGGGTTACTATTTCATTTTTATTTACATTTATATTTGCATTTAATTATTTAAGTAAATCTACGCCTATGATGCCATCAAATCGGTTACTAAACTTAAAAAGAAAAAATTTATGATAATCTTGCAAATTAAAAATTTTAAAAAGAGGAATGCAAGCGACTTCATCGTAATATGAAATATTATGAGCTGTCTGAATATTAAGTTTCTTTTTGATTATATAATTTTGATAATATTTATAAGCCAAATTTGGATCAATTAAAGATTTTTAGCTGCCTGTGTCAATTAAAAATATTGCGTTAATTTCTGGAATTTCGATGTATGGTAAAGTTGCTTTTAATGCATTAACAAAGATTATGTCGGATTGCTGGAACTCGGCGCCTGGATAAAATCCTGACTCGGGTTACTTGCATCAGCTGAGAGTGTGGGATCTGTACACAATTCATTATTATAAGAATATGTAGTGTTATCATTTACAAGTCTCGAGAAATTATTATCATAGGAGTATTGAATTGCAGGAATATGAGAATAAGAGTCAATATCATTGTCTACTTGTGTATGGTATAAATTTTGATAGTCATTTTGATTTTCATATTGTTCAAATTGTTGATACTGATATGGATTTTCAAATTGTTGAGAGTTGTATGAATTTTCAAATTGTTGATTTTGATAAGGGCAGTTGATATTTTAATTAAAAAGTTCTGTAGAAGTAAATTGTTGTTTTGGATGAATTTTAGTATCCATAGGTTCAAGTTTGAAATTTTGAAAATAATTTTGGTTATTAATTTGTAATAGATTAAAATTACGTGGCTTCATTTGATTATTTTGATTTTGAAAAAATGGGTGACGTTGGGTAGGAAAATTGTTATTTGGTCTCCAATTGTAAGAATTATTTACTGAAAAATTTGCTCTAAATTAAGAAGGATTTAGAAAAGGTGCTCTTGGCATAATATTTGGTTGAAATGCAGGACGAGTCAATTGTGGAAGTGGTTGATGAGAATTTAAATTACTAAAATTTGGGTTAAATGTTGAATGGGCTCTATAATTTAGATTTATGGCAGGTGTGATTCTTAAATTAGGTTTAAATGATGAATTTGAATTTATATTTTTCAATTTTTAACAGGAATACAAGAAATTTTCTTCTTCTATAACAAAACTCATAGCTTTTTCTAAACTATCAGGTACTCTTAATCTAACGTTTATTTGAATAGGTAATGGTAGTCCTCGAATATATTTCACGACACTATCTTTTGGTATGTTCTAGTCCTCGTTGGACTATATCACACAGGATATTTCTAAACCTGCCTCTTGCAAATATGACTATGTCGTCGGCATAATCTTTACAGGATATGCCGAGGTCAGTCAATCTGCATAGAAGTTCGTCTACGGTTAGGCTCCACATTAGTGGGGATAGAACTTCTTCTTATGGACATCCTCTAATTGTGCAAATGGATGTGGTGTCCTGCCCTATCTGTCTCTGCAGTTCTCGTAAATAACAGCTGAGCCATCCATCTGGATGTGATGTTATCTACTCCTCTGTATGCAAGTGCTCTTTTAGCAGATTCGTGTAGCGTATTGTCCTTTTATATCCAGGAAGGCACACACGACCGTTTCTTTGTTTGTCTGTGCATCCTGGATTACGTCAGTCAACTGTACCAGGGCAGTTTCTGTAAATCTTTCTGCTCGGTACGTGTGTTGGCTGTGGTGGAGTTGCACCCTTTTCAGAACTTCCATTCTGATATAATTATCAATAGCCTTTTCCATTCTTTTTAATACAAAAGATGTGAGGCTGATTGGTCGGAAGGATTTAAGATGTGCGGTATTCTTTTTCCCTACTTTTGGAATAAAGGTGATTCTGGCACTTTTCCATGCTTCTGGTATATATCCCAGCTCCAGACTGCTTCAGGATAGCCGGATTATGTGTGGTAGTAATTCTCCCTGTGTCCGCTGAAGCAAGGCAGGAAATATTCCATCCAAACCTGGAGACTTAAACGGTTCAAAAGTATTTACGGCCCACTTTAACCGATTTCTGCTGCATATGTGGGGGCATGTTTACCTTAGTTGTGCCTTATTAGAAAAGGTGTGCTTCCAGGAAAGTGAGTTTCGATTAAGAGGCGAGTTCTTTCCACCTCACTCTCCGTGAAGCTTCCAATTGGTTTTTTTAATGCCATAACTTTATCAACTCTCCCTTTTGCCAGGTTCCTGTGCAGTTTCGCTGCCGATGTAGAATTTTTTCCACCTCACTCTCCGTGAAGCTTCCAATTGGTTTTTTTAATGCCATAACTGTATCAACTCTCCCTTTTGCCAGGTTCCTGTGCAGTTTCGCTGCCGATGTAGAATTTTTTAAAGCTGTTACTTTCAGCTTTGCTGACTTCTTTGTCGTAGGTAGTAAGCGCCTCGGTGTAGCTCTGCCAATATCCGGTGTGCTTGGCCCTATTATAGAGTTCCGCACTTCGGGTCGTAAGTTTGACAGATGACGGTTCCACCAAGGAGCGTCCCTATTTCTTTGAATGGGGCAGCTTGATTCATATGCCTTAAGTATTGCCCGATTTAGTTCTCCGAGATCTCTTGTTGACTAGGACCAAAACTAAAAAATTTCGGAAGTGGAATGTTTTACAGAAATCAACCAAGACTCCCTTTTTTTAATTAGCCCTATTATAAGCCTTGGTTGTAAAAGTGACATTTCTCTGATAGTTAAATGTCACTAAAATGATACCTACATTTAATATAAATAAAAAAAAAAGAAAATTTTTTATCCCAAACTCACCACTGGAAAGCGCTATTATTAATTTTCATTTCAACTGGAGTAAATATTGTATGGTCAGTCAAAAATAGAATATAAGCCATAACATCTTTTAGTTTATCTTCCATTTCTCCTAATTTACTAGTTTCTGTTTCATTCACGAACTCCATCAATCTCACCAACGCCAACGTATCTTTTGGAATGCTTGTGGCTTTATCGGCAATCGCTTGATATTCTTCAATTAAGCTGCATAAAAAACAAATTATTCGTGAATTATTAAGAAGAACCTTATTATTATACATTAAATAATTGTATAAGATTTAACAATACTTTACGGTTACTGCCTAAGTACCTAATTAAAGATTGAAACCTGATTGTTATATAACGAACGTACCCATTGGTAACGTTATTATAAATGTACGGAACGTACCTGTCATACATCAATCAATATACATCAGAAGACGTATGTCAAACAACGAACGTCTAATCATTTAATATTTTTGTCATCCTTGTGTATTTTGTCAGAATCATATAATGAATACATAAATAATAAATATAATTTACTGGAGTATATGTTATTTAGCCCCCGCAGTTCATAAGTGAACATAACACTGATGATATATAAACAAAAGTTCGAGTATTGAATTTTAAGTAAATAGTAGGTTCCTTCTGAGTCTAGGAATACTTCTACTAATTTCCAATGCTTGTTCAGACTTTTGAGCCAGCCTAAATATAGAGCATTTAATATAAAAACCGATGCACGTCAGAGATGACGTCAGTGACAGTCATTGGTACCACACACACTAATAAAAATAATTAATTTTATTGTGCAAATAAATGAATAAATTTAGACGCATGGAGTTCATTTTTAAAAAATTGCATATTAAAAATGTATTTTTTATCATATCACAGTAGTAAATGTACTTTAGGCAGATTATTAACGGAATACTTTCTAGTGAATTTCATAATAAAAGTTGGCATCAAATGTGTCAGCTTTCAATTTTAATATATTGTTGTCAATTGTTTTGTATTATTTTGCATCGATCGATTTCTTTTCAAGAAATTATTTGTATTTTAGTTAAATTATTAACAGACTGTTCATTTCAGAACAAATTTATTAGGAATTTAATAGTGGTGTTCGTTTATTGTCTATTTTTTCATTGCAAAATGCAAAACAATTAAATAGTCGCTGCAAGGAACTAGTGGCTTCTCTAATAAATTATTTTGAGAAAGAACGTGATAATAATGGGCCTTTGTTACCTTTAACAGCTGTAAGAGAAGTGAGTTGATTAATAATGTATCACCGTCAAATTAATATAATTATTTTGTTTCAGAGTATCGCAGAAGCACTTAATCTCAATTTTTCTACTGTTAGTTCTATTTCACCAAATAGAGATGATTCTGATTTTAGTTCTAATTATTCTGACCGATTTTAGCTTAAATATTATTTAAGTTTTAAAATGTCATGTGTTGATAGTTTTATTACCTAACTGTTCTAATTATTGTTACTTCTTTTAAATATGGATGTTTATAAACTGAACATAATTATTTTTTATTGTAAATTAAATCAAGCCTAAATAAAATTTGTTTGTTTTTTCATCCTTAACCTAACCTTTTTTGTCATTTTAAACCTCTTGTGCAAAATTTATTAGTATTAAATTCAATGTTTTTCTAAAAGTTTAATTTAAACATTATCAATGACCTTCATTGGCTTTTATATAGAATTCATTATACATTTAAAACTAATTGTTCCTAATAACATAGCCAAAAAACATAACCTCATAGTTTTAAAAATGCCTACATTCTTAGACTATTTTGAAGATTGGGCAACACTGCAAGGCTATGACTTCAAAAGTGATTGATGACGTGTATCAGTTTTTTATATTGAATTCTCTATATATATGGCTACATTGCAGGACTTCTTAGATTGGCAATCAAACTGGTAACGGTAACGAATTACCCCCTAATTTGTATTTAGTGTGTGTATATGTTACGGTCAAAGATGATATTTCGGTCTTTAACGATATTGGCCGGTCATTTTCGTAAATCTCCTATTTGAATGGGCATTCTGCTGACGTTAGGGTCCGTTCAATATCGTCAGTGCCCAATTTACAACACTGCCCTGCCCGTAACATATAAATATTTCAAAATCATCAGTTTGTTCAGCGAGACACCTAGCGGCAACACATCTTAAAAGTAGTCAAAAGTTAATGCTGTTTATAGTTTTTATCAGAGATTAGGGACATAAAGATAGGAAACGCGGCATCGATGGCGTCATCTATGCGTCTCAGATGTTAACTAAAGGTATACATCCTTTGCAGAGATTAGGGCCATAAAGATAGGAAACAAATTGTAACGATACGACGGTTATTTTGATAAGTTTCTTTTAACAGTGATATGACCTTTCTATTAAAATAGTTTTATTGTAGAAGCCACTAGGCACGCATATAAGAATAATGGTGTACCAAGCCATTTGACAGACCAAATCATTAAATTTAGCATTCAAGACTAGCTTAAATGTAGCTAGCGCATGTCTAAGACAACGCATTAAAATGATGACTTGAGATTTTAATTTTGACATTAGTTCGTTCGTTCAGTCGTTCGTTCGTTCATTCGTTGTCGTTCGTTCAGTCGTTCGTTCGTTCATTCGTTCGTATGTTAAAGAAAGGTCCCGTTGAGTTTGTCATTTAAAAGTATGGTTTGTTTAATTGTTTTTTTTATGGATACGCTGGATTAATGCAAAATTTAATTTAAAATTTGATGGGTGATACATTTACCTCTGTAAACTATTTAAAGAAATAAAATAGAGGAATATTTAAAGACGATTTTTACTTAATACAATATACTTACGCCCTACACATTTGTCCTAAATTCTTAATACCCTTCTGGACAAGTTGTTCTGTAAAACTTTGAGCAGCTGATTCTAATGTTTTCAGCAGGTCTATTCGGTTCATATCGTACATACCCAAACGAACTATATATTCGGTGGAAAAAGGTATCTTGCTTGTTAATTCCTCAAACTTGTTGATTTCGTCGTTTAACACTTCCAAAGTTTGATCTTCCTGTTAAATTCCGATTAATTATAAACAAATTTGACTTGAAAATATGTATTATTATGTTATGTTGGGCATGGTGTGTTAATACAGTGCGATCTAAAAGACTGTCTCTCCTTCTGTCGCTAATGCAGTAAGGACAAGTTTCCAAAAATTGAAAAACTACATGGAAAACATAATTTTTATTCATGAAAAACCATGGCATGTGCGTAATTTTTAGTATTTAGCGAGGAAAAGGATCCTGCGCTTCAAAAGAAGCCTGAAGAAAATGTCGCAGCTAATGAATATATTAAACCAGTGGTCGCCAACCTGTCGATCGCGAGCTACCGGTAGCTCGCGGAGGCAATTGAGGAGTTTGCTGCAAGAAGGATGCAGCTCCATTTTTGGTAATTGTTGGGAAATTGAAAAAAACTGTTTTTCTTTTAAAGTTTTTATTTTAAACTGAAAAACGAAGTGCCAATCAATAATATCGAGGTTTAGTCAATATTTGAAACTATTTTAAACCTTATAATTTTTGGAGAAATTAGAAAAAATTAGAAACAAAAGCTGGAGCTGCATCTTTCTTCCACCAAACACTTGAAAAAATGCGTACTTACTACAGTCTTTGGCAAAAAAAACAAAATACCTAGTGAAAAGCCTTTATTAAGTAAGAAAAGTCAAAAGAATATTCCCAGATAGCACAGGACGTCCCATGGACGTCCTGATTTGGTCCCTTGTTGGTCCGGTTGGTCCCGGACCTAAATAGGACGTCCACTGGACTTCCGATTACAGTTAACACTAGGACGTCCTTAGAAGGACGTCCTCTGGACGTCCTATTTTGGTCCCGTTTCGACAAAGCGTTTAGTTTTCGGTCCGAGTCCGGGACGTTAATGGGACGTCCAAGGGACGTCTATGGGCCTTTCTATGCACTAGCATCGTTGGTCTTTGAATCGATAACTTGAAATTCAACGTTTTGATGTTGCAAGAGTATGAGGACAGAAAACCTAACCTATCATTTATTTTCAAATGAACAACAATAGCTACAATTTTCGGCATTCAATAATTAACTTAAATAAGTGAGTTAGATTAACGAAGAAAAAAGAAGGTTATATAGTGTTATTTGTTATTTTTTTGATGTTGGTGGTAAAGTGGTTATAAAGTGAAGTGAGTGTTTTGTGTTGATGTGAGAATAAGTGATGTGTATTGTCGGTAGCCGCTGGCGGAAAGAAAATACCTTAATGGCGGAAAGTTGGAACAAAACTAATTTGGACAAAATTATAATACTCAGTTTTGTCGACACAAGCTATAAGTAGGACCCAAGGTTTCATCTTGCCAGCGCTGTGTGTTAAATTTAATTCATTCCTGTTTTTTTTTTGTAAACTGAAAACGTTTAACTCTAGCTAGGTTTTTTAGGATAAAAGTTGTTAAATAAAGCTCTTTTATTGTTAACATTTTTGTTATTATTACCCTTTATGGATTATGGTCAAATATCGTCCCTCGGACGTCTGATTTACGTCCCTAGGACGTCCCGCAAAGGTCCCTATGACGTCCTTTTGGGATGTCCCAGGGACGTCCCTAAGATGGACAGAAACGGGACATTAGGACGTCCATGGGACGTCCGATTGACGTCCCGGTACCAAAATAGGACGTCCCTCGGACGTCCTTTATGTCCCTAAAGGACGTCTTTTAGACGTCCATAAGACGTCCGTGTGCTATGTGGGATAGGTCACCAAATACAAAAAAATATAAAAAACAATAAAAATACGCAGGTTGGTATATAAAAAAAATCAACATTCGAAAAAAATCGAAATAATAAACTCACGCGAACCTACACACTTCATTCATCTGCCTGGTCATCATCATCCGTTCCAGATGTTTCGGGCCCTGGTTCTCTGCTACAGCTTCACTTCTGAGGCAGTTGTAGAAAGCCATTTGGTCCATTGAAACGAATCGTGTTGCCAATTGCATTACATCCTGATACTTGGCCTTTTTGACAGGTATGAGATGGTCATACACTGGGATATCAGAAGAAACTGAGAGATCGATTTCAAGGTCTCTCAAGAGTTTAAAAAACAGAAAAATCGGAAGGCCAGTAGATATGCTAACTTTGATACCATCCAAGTGTTCCTTGCTGTATTTAAAAATGCGGTATTTTGAAATCTGGAACCTTTGTCTGTCCTCATTTAAGATCACTTTTTTAAAATGTCCTTCATAGTGACCACTGAAGTTCAGGATCATATTTTGTTTTACCAGAATAGGGATGAACTTTTTGGATGATTGCTTGATAAAATCTGCGTATTGTTTAGGGCTGAAAACGTAGTCCTTCTTCCTCAAAAACTTCTCAATAACTCCGATGCACCGATCACATGGTAGAAAGCTGTGACCCGGCTCAGGAAAACGATGTTCAATCTTGTCAATAGACGTAGTTCTTACGAGCAAATACAAAAACTGAGTCATTACAGAGTTTTTGTTTTGAGCAGCAGCATTATCAGAGAAGAGATATAAAACTTTGACATTTTTTGGGAGTATATTATTTATGTAATGGTACAAAAATGACACCACCTCGTTTGGCGACTTTCGAGCTATCGTTGCATCGTACATATAAAAGTGTGCTTGATTCGTCTTGGCAGAATGAACGCAGAAATTATATGTCCACAACTGGCGTTTGTAAAAAGCTTCCCCAGCAGGAACTTTTGGAAGGGGAAGGTTTTGCTGGAAGTCAAATGTCAAAACTTCAACTTCTCTTTGCACAAGTTACTTTTCTTATTCAGCTCCTTAAAAAAGAAATCGGCCTTAATTTCATGAGTCTGCTTTTCCGCTTCTAATTCTTTTATTTCGTTTTCGTCGAGGGTCACATCTTTAAGTTTGTTATGCAAGATGTCACATTTTTTGCACGTATCAGAGCGAGGTGAGCCAAAACTGTAGTTGAAGTTTTCCTTGAAATATCGATAATAAAAGTCATAGGGCACTTTGGTTTTATATAAAGGGTCACTGGTACTTTCCGGTTCATAAAGTTCCAAATAGAGCTCATGCATTCTTTTTATACTTAGATCTGGAGACAAATAGAATCGACGAGTCTTGTTTCTACTGTAATGCGACTCGCGTCTTGGAAAACTCTTGATATGCATGGTCACATTTTGCAGTAGGTATATCCTTTGATTTCCGGTTAGGTCTATTTTCGTGTTTACCCTTGTTACTAGTTGGTGCTGTGATATTTCTGCAACGAAAACTTTGAGCAATGAGGTCTACACGTTTCCTTGATATGCCGTGATATGTCTACAAACTCGTACTGATAGGTGGCCCAGTCTAACAAAATACTTGTGAGAACAAGTACGCCCTCGTCTTTGATTAGTTTTTTTACGAGTTCTTTGAATGGCAGCAGTTTGAATCAATCCTCCCAAATAGGTATTTTGCAAATTTTTGTCGCCTATTTTGTTAAACTTTTCTAGGACAGCGTTTCTTGTTTCTTCATCCACACTCTGAAAACACTTGTACCTACAGTTACAGTTCGATCCAGTTAATCTCGGTCCCTTCTGTACCCCTTTATAGTTCGTATACATTTTTCCTTCTGCAGCAGATTTTTTATTAATATTTCTTTTCCAGGCAGCAGGATTTGCCATTTTTTTATTTTTTGGTGCAGGAACAGTAGGCTCCTCCGTGGGCAAATTGTTGTCTACCGATTCAGTGGATTGTTTAGAGATACGTTTTTTGTTTAGACGCTTCCTTCTAAAAGAAGGTCCTGCCACATCAATATCAGAACTTTCGTCAGAGCTTGAAGGCTCATAATATGGTGAGTCACTAGCACTAAATGGCTCCGACTCAGTTTCACTCATTTTTAAAAAGCGGCAACGCAAAACAAAACTACGTGAAAAACAGATTACAATAACAATAACAACGCATGGAAAGCACTTATGTGATTAACAATAGTTAGAAACAAATCAGTCGTTGCCGCAATGCAGACAGCAAATGACCTTGCATTTCACGAAACCCAAGAAACACCCTTCTTGCGCCAAACAACTGAGGAGGCAGATACATAAGTGCGGATAATTTCTTCATTTATTAACGGATCTGCATCGTTTTTGTACCAGTCGATAGGCCAATTTTTTTTGCATATAATGTATATTTCAACTCAAAATGACACAAAAAAGGAGCTGCATCCTTCTTGCAACAAACTCCTCAATTCTGGTAGCTCTCACAACAATTTTAATTTAAAAAATACAAACTGCAAAACCAGAGAAGTTTCCGAAAATTCCACAAAAAAAACTAATTGTCATAATATTAAACATAAATATCGGCAACGTTGCGGTGAGCGATCTGTCGCTGACGCCATCAAGCTAGAATCGGCTAGAACCGACCAGCCGGACCAGCGCGTTAGTGTTCGAGAACGATCAGGATTGCTTTGAACGGGATAAATACGCACAGCGCGGCGACATTGCGCTTAGTTTAAAACTGAAAGCGTAACCAACGTCCAGCGGTTGGGTTAGTAGAGAACAACAAAAAATAATATGGCAAGCAGTTGTAAGAAGGTAAAGACATACCACTTTCATTCGGAATGGGAAGAACAATATTTTTTTACAGAAGTTAAAGATAAAAATGTGTGTTTGTTATGTAATACTTCGGTCTCCGTTGCTAAAAAACGAAATATTGAGAGACATCATAAAACTATACATTCTAATTTTAAAAAATCATTCCCACTACATTCTGCCGCCAGAAAAGAGAAACTGAAACAGTTAAAAAAGCAGTTAATTGGACAACAATCAATATTTTTAAGAACAGTCGACAAAAATAAGGCTGCAACTGAAGCATCGTACCGTGTGTCCCAGATAATTACACAAAAAAAGAAACCTTATGAAGACGAGGAAATGATAAAACAGGCGTTTTTAGAAGCTGCCGATTCGTTATTTGCCAACTTTAGAAATAAAGACGAGATAGTTTTAGCTATAAAATCTATGCAACTTTCTGCTAATACAGTGATGAGACGTGTAGAAGTAATGAGCAATGATATTTTTTTACAGTTAAGAACTGACTTA